GATTTATGTATCTGTTGGATCGGCAAAGTCAGAGAATAGAAACTGTCTACTTTTTTTTAACTTTATTGAATGGGCAAGGAAACTATTTAAAATTAGGTAAAAAAAATACGAGCCTAGATTCTGGATAAAACTAAATTGATTTTGAAAGCGAGGAACCACAAATCCCAGTTGGGGAAAGTGCAGAATCGTCCACTGCTTGGTGCGTTTTTAAGAATTGCATATACTCGGTATCCATGTACACATCGACCTATTTTCACTTAAAAACAACATCCCAGAATTGCACAAAAATGGCACTGTGCACTCCCTTGACTTTAACCATGTACACATCGACCTATTTTCACTTAAAAAGTCAAAGAAAATTGACAAAAATCCAATTCTTCTTACTCTTGTAAAAAGCGACAAACGAATAAGTGGGCGATTCTGCACTTTAGCCTCCCAGTTCGCCTGGACCAAAGAAATTCAGTTTTTAATTGTGTTGATATCATTATAAACTGTCATATGAGAGTCAGATACTTGAGTATGAATGGTGGCATGCCAACTATCTGTCATTATGCAAGCACCATAAGTCCAATAAAACACACAGATGTTTAGTAGCAACTATATAAATTTTATTCACAAGTTTGCCCATGATGATGAATGATGTGACACGAGAAAAAAATAGCAAATATATGGAAATGCAGTTGATTGGTATTTTCAAAAACTTAGAATCTATTTTTAAGGTCTGATTACAAAATAACAGATAATACGGTTATTTATATTTTTTTAATTCAAACACAGTTCCATTTTGAATTAAATTATTAATCTTTGAGGTTACCATAATCCCAGTTTTATTCTGAATATTCTTTGAAAGAGAAATTTTTAGACTAAATTTGGCTTAATCAGTGAACTTGACAAATCAATCGTATCATATAAAAATATCTGATAATAGAATATCTTACTGAAGATTTTTTATGTGCACTACATTTTCTATATCAGACCTAAAAAACTATCACTATTTGTTCTTTCACTTTCTTATACGGAGAAACATAGCCAAGCCATTCAGTTGTATAATGCTCGAAATCGTTTAAACATACATATTCACAGATATTCACAAAGATTTATTTCCAGATTTCCGAATAAAAGTTGCGAACCATGTTTACATCGACCGAAGTTGTTGTTGATGCTGGACGGAGCTTCGTTGTGGCGTCGACTTACGCTTGAAGTGACGATCACGTGACCTCCCTGCGCGTTCGAGGATTTAGTGCCGACCGCAGATTCTACCCTATTTTGAATCATCTTTTACCCAGGAATCATTCGCCATTTGTCGCGGTCGCCTAGCAACGAATTATTGTTTCTACCGCGATCTTGCTGTCACAAAATTCGATGGAAAGGCGAATGTGGATTTTTTTTCATTTTATGTTCATTCAAAAGTTATTTTTTATTTTACGATGTTGTCTTTGACGTGAAAAGAAATATTTGAAAACATTTCTTACCTTCCTTTGGGCATAGAAAGTATAAATAAATTTATTCTCACTGAAATGAAATTACATATATAAATCAAATACAAATATTTATTTAAAAGTTTTTGAACATTTTTCTGATACTACATTGCATGAAAAATGAAACTGATTACAAATGGGAAAATTCTTGCAGAAGTTGGAATGAAATTGTTATAAAATGTTAGAAGGCGTTTTCAGTAGTCAAACCACTTCAAAAGTTGCAGTATTTTATAATTAGAAAAAATAAATAATGGATTTATTAACAACTTCGAGGTAAAAAATTACGTTCACAAAATAATTAATAATTACAGAATTATTTTAGCAAGATAAATTAATGCGCAAGCAAAAAATATCCAAAAATATTATGTTACACTTACTAGATATAATAACAAGAAATTTTGCGATTAATTAGTCTTTAACTGGAACGACTGCCAAAGACAAATTTATGGAGTCGAGCAGAGCGCTATCGCAAGGGGTGTCACGTCCCGAGAGTCATTAAAAATTGTCAAAATTAATAAAGGTGTTTGGATAAGGAGAGTGGTCGATAAAAGTTTTGCTAAGATTAGCTCTTTACTTAATAAATAGGCCACTGATGACTGCGGTAGTAAAATCCTAATTATACTAATAACTATTTAATCATAAATAACAGTTAATTAAAGGAAGTTTAGAAAAATAAGTGTAATATCGTTAATACATTTGAATTTATTGAAGTTCTATTTATTATTTAAAATTATAGAAATTGAATCTTGGATAATGCAATAGTTTGCGTAACAAAATCATTTTGACTGTCAGAAAGTCGGAAATATTAAGTGATCTTAATTGCGTATACATTTGTAGCTATTATTTTGAATTGCTATTGCTAATCGATACCTCGAAAGAATATTACTAGATAAAATATTTCCTTAATGGATAAAATCATATCGTCCATTGTAAATGAAGAATACGAGAGGAAATTATTTCTTACTCATAAGGATTAATTATTAATTAATGGTTGTGGTGTGGCAAATCTGTTGGTTTCTAGTTCAGTTTAACAGTTAAGTTCATACGAATTTATATCTTTCTGTCTGCATTTTTTCGCTGTGCTGTTTCATTTTGCAATCAAATAAAGAGAAAAAGTTCAAAGATTCATAAGGCATATCATAAGATTTTTTGTGAAGAGGAAAACTGCATAAAAGGAAAATCACTTCGATTCACGCAGATGGAAGCAAATAATAGAGCCCTTCACTTATTTGTGATTAATCGACAGTATCGGAAATAATTTCAGTAGCGATTTAAAGGCGCATATTCGAAAACTTTATTTAGTAAATGTTTATATTTTTATCGCAAATTATAAATATATAGCTAAACACAATAAATATGGTTCTTTACTGGACCAAACATCTATAGTATAAAAAGCCAATAATAATCCACTGTTTCTTCGATGTGAACTACAAATAAAATTGTACACCAAGAGGTTTGTTTGTTTAACCATTTACGGCAAAACGCACGAATTCGAAAACCCAGGTAGTTCGACCCGGGTTCAAATCCTGACAAATGGGTCTGTTGCATGGATATTATCTTGGGTTTTCCTCATGTTAACGTGGATGCCGCCCAGATGAGCTAATGGTTAGTGACGCTGACTGCGGTACCGAAGAGCCCAGGTTCGAATCCCGGAGAAAGCATGCATGTTTATAAGATTATAAGGTCTGTGCAGCAAGGGGCACTCAAAAGGCACGGCCAGCTGAAATCCTGACGAGAAACTAATAGTAAAGGAAGAAGGGTGAGAGACCTTCGGACCGCTCCATGGAGTACTCTCTGTCGGAATACCAAATTGGGAAGGAAGCTTATCAGTTAGGTAGGTACAGCAGTATCTCAATTAACTAATGTAAACAATAAGTTTAAACAGCTGTTTTCTAACTATTAAACTGTATGAAAGCTGTAAAAGCAACATATCTTTCACTGTGTGACAAGGATTTGCTGATAAAATCCCTACATGGGAAGACTCAGAACAATAAAGAGAGTTTTAATAACCTTTTGTGGACTATTTTACCTAAAGAAACTTTTGTCCAACTGAAAACTTGCGCATATTACTGTATTATTTTTTTAATCCAGGATATTTAGGACTTTTACCTGTTTTCAGGCATCTAGAAATAGAAATTAATCCCATTATGTTTGAAAGATACATGGGAATGGACAAACAGCGAATTCAAAAATCGAAATGCCAATCTCTACAAGCAACAAAGTTATCCAGAAAAAAAGATAAAAGCTAAAAGAAAGTAAAAATTAGTTAAAAATGGAGCAAAAGAGGGACTAACATACAAATATGGCGAGTTTTAAAGGTTTAAAGTGGCTACAAATATTTTTGTGCTGTGTTAAAATCTTTAAATGCATTTTCTGATAAACTTTGTTTTTCGTTACTTTCACTTGCGATTACGTTCATTTCTCAAAATGTATTTAGAATATTGAAATGTAATTTGCCAAAATGTTTTATTATTCATCTTTAGCTGTGTTCTGCAGAGCAAAATCTGACCTCTTTGCATTTATTGATTGATTTTATTGACAGTATTTTGAAAAAAAGAGTTTTTTTTTTTTTTTTTTTTTTAGTTTTTGTACTAAGTTAGGAATATTTCAAAAAAAATATAAGTGCAACAAATCGTTTGCTACAGAACACCGGTAAGTATGTTATTTATATACTGTATAAATATTATTGAAGTATATCCATTAGAATCTATTATAGATATAGCGTAAATGAAAATTTTCACTAAATTTTTCTAAATATTGCCTATATTTAAAAAATTAATGTAAATTTTTGTAAAATCCCATTTAAATTCATAGTTTTATATCCCATCTCGCTCAAAAACATGTGTGTTTAATTAAAATTTTATGTATTTTAAAAAAAGTACTACGTGTGCAGGCACATATCTTAATCAGTTTTCTCCGTATATAATCAGACTCTTCCTTATCTCTTTCAGTTTTTCAAATGAAACTCAATTGGTTAAACAACCAAAATCATTTCTGTTCAGCTGGAATAATTTATACATTATACGTTCACTGCTTGAATAACTGCTTCTGCCACCAGAAGCTAATCTGCTTCGCATAACAAACTAAAAATAATTAAAGTTATATTAGCATTTCGCGTGCAAGCTGGCGAATTATATTAACTGTTCGAAAATTCTCTCAATTCAAATACCTTTAAACATTATTACATTGAAGAACCCAGTTGTAGACTTCAAGCTTAACATTCTCTATCAAAAAATTACCTGCACTTTTCTCCATTCACAATATGATCATCTTTTGAAGGACTACATTTGTTACTTTGCTTGGAAAACAGTGAACAAATCAGTAGGTAAATGCTAATTTCCGATAATAAACTAACACGTAACGCAGCGCTCTAATCGATGTTCTTGCGACTGTTAGGTAAATTAATAAAAATCGATAGCTTTACAAAGAATAGCGTGAATGGCCTTTGTTTTATTTATTTTTCTTTTTCAGTGTTTATTATAATTTTTTTTTTATGCTCTTGATGTTGAATTAAGGGTTGCTATTTAAATTCCCTCTAGGAAGAAGTAAAAAGTTAAACGAACGCCCGCAAGGATTTCAGAAAAATACAAATCTAGAACCTGTGTGTGAGTAACATGACAACTACTTGGAGTTCTGGGACGACTTTAACTTCACCTTCTTATGGGAATGATCAGAAACCAGAGGAGCTTATAGGAAAAGGATTTAGCTTTATGGATTTTTTGCCTCAGATTCGTGAATCTGGAGGATTCTTTTCTGAACCTGTGTACGAAACGTTTAGGTAAGTGTGTTTAAATGACGGAGATAAGTTTATTTATCGTTAAGTTATTTATCATTTTTATTTTATTCGTTGAGTTTCTTAATCAAAAACCCATAAATGCTTTGCAAAATATGAAATAGATAATAAAACAAAATTCTAGATTTAGGCTTTCAATTGCCCATATTCGGGTGGAGACGTACGTTATTTAAAATCTGATGACCCTAGGTACCGTTGTTTTATCACAATGCGAGAAACATACATACATTTATGCAGATTCTTCATTATTTAATTTCTACAGGGCTCTAATATTTGGTTACAACAATTTAAAAAGTGATTCGCCGTTTATAGTGAATCAACGAAAAATGACAAAACGAAATTAATAGCCTCCCCTTTGGACTCATAAAATTGAAAGGTTCCAGATATTAACGATTGCCCAAAAGGGCTCTTTTAATAAGTTTAATGATGTTTATCAATAGAGATTATTGATAGAGATGGCCCGGATGGAATAGCGAAACATTTTATAGGATATTAGACGAATGTGCATGTAGTCTAACATGGGGATGCTAGATATCTTCTGTATACTTAAAAAAAAAAAAAGAAAAAAAAAATGTGTAATATACTTCTATAAAAGTATTTAATGCTTTTAATTAGATACATCAGGAACTAAATGTATTTTTATTTAAATCAGATTAAAAAGTAAAAAAATAATATTCTTAAGAACTGCGTCTGTTGCTTTTATATAGTTTAGTTTGTTAATTGCTAAATGGCAGATCAAATATGAAAGAATAATATTTTACGTTTTCCAAACGGCAGCAGACTCGAATGAAAAGCGAAACAATGCAAAATCGTGTTTCCAGATTAATAGCCATTTTGGGTTAAAAAAAATGTTTGAATCTACTCATCCAGAAAGGCATTACAGTAGAAAACATTTACTACTAATATTCTATAGATAATTAAAAATAAGTGTTAAAATATGTTGTGTCTGATCGCCAGTGGCGAATTAAATCGACAAATTAAATCGTCAATGAAGAATTTTGACGAAATTTTAAAATTTCTCTAAATTTCTAAAAGAGAGCTGCATTATCAAATATGAAATATTTGTATATTTTCAAATTTCCCTTTCATATTGTAATTAGTTTGTAATTAATTCAGTAATTAATTTATTTTCTTTTCACACTGTAATTAAATCACATCAAATTTCCTTTTCACATTATAATTTTTTAATATTATATACTTCTATACGAACAAAAGTATTTTCAGTTTTTTGTGTAATGCTGTGTATATTTGCAATATTTTATCCTAAATGCTTTATCAATTTTCCAATAAAATTGCTGTCGGCATACACTTATTTGAAGTCCAACTAAATTTTCAGTCGTGGGGATGTAGTAAAATCTACACTAGCAAAAGTGATGCTGTAAAACTAACTGTTAAATAATAAATAAAGGAACTGCTAATAAAAACAAAGGAACAAAAAAATAAATAAAATTTTTAGTCATCAAAAGCAAACTTTCTCTAAATGTTCGCTGCGAAAAATATAAAAAAGATACAAATGTAATTCTTATACTGTTTAATTGTTTTCTTATATAATGCTACCTTTTCAGATATTACAGAGACAAATTGCAATTTTATTACTGAAATTTATTAATTAGGTTTTTTTTTAATTTTACAGTTAATCTGACAGACTCTTTCGGCTATTTAGTGACTAATGTTTGTTTCAGTTTTGCGATTTTATGTTTCATTGATTTTGTATAGTAAATTTCTGTAAAACATATATTGTATTAAGAGTAAAAATTCATTCTGGATAAAATAAATGTATGCTTATACGTTATTTTACGTTTTTAAATAAGTAAATGTCGTATATAAATTTAGTAGATGCATTGCACTTGATTTCGTACCTTTTGTAGTAGGCCTAACGGAGTTTAACCCTTTGCGGCACAGTGTGTCCGGTCTGGACACACCTAAAAATTTCCTTCTGTACAGAAAAATTGAATAAAAAAGGATTTATAGGTTACTTTGAACCTTCTTTATTTATAGTAGATGGCATCTCAACACAAACCAGTCCATATATTTTAGCCATGTTTAGTTTTTTAAGACCCTCATTTTTCAAAGAAATCTTCCAGATTTTTTTTTAGGGTTTAAAAGGAATTGTTTGAAAAGAAATTTATATGTTATTCTTTTGGCTGTATGCTAGTCTCCTTATTCTATATCAGTTTTAAATTTTTACCTTGAAATCTTGCCTAAAATCGGCGAACTCTAGGTGTGCCCAGACTGGGCTCACCGATAATCTAGGACAGCTGAGAGTCTGTATTCTTTGTTTCTCCGCATCTCATCGGTTAGTTCATTGACAACAATGCTCGTTTCAGCACTCTTTTCGAAGCTCTATTCAATCAGTGTGCCAATTTGGGCACACCCGCAGAATTACAACGATAAGTGCTATCTTCACAAAATTTTACTTGTGTACTCCTCTAGGACTAATTAGACAGCCTACTTTTTTTTTAATCAAAACTCCGACTTTAAAAGGTAGCGTGCCGGAAAAGGTTAACGAGTCTTTTCTTCCTCTAACCATTTTATTCCATGAGAATATGTTGTCTAGAGAATTTGTCTGATCGCGTTATAAAAACTAGGTGAATGATTTTCTGATTTATGGAAATCTTAATTTTATTTGATTCTGAATTATTTATTTTAATGCTTTAATTTTGGGGAAAAACAGATGCTTCTGGGAATATTATTTAGTTTAAAAGAATATTATTTATTTTTCTTTTATTTGCAATTTTTGTACAAGCTTTGATTCATTGTGAAAAGAAGCAGGGAAAGGGAGGCAATTTTGCTAAGTTATGATTTCGCGCGCTTTTGTCCTTTAGAATGTTCTAGAAAAAATTTCATTTTGCAGTTGACCTTAGGACAGGAAGTACGTGACAGAAGGGTCAGAGGTTGCCACCTGATTTTCGATGTAAGTCATTCAGGTTTTGGCGATTGAGGGTCCGGTTGTTGGCTAAGTGAAGAAGGGCGCGCATGCGCGATCACCCTTATTTCCGCATTCAGGGGTTGAAAACGCAAATTTTGCCAAAATTAAGGGGGCGATAATTGAAGCCATAGTTGGGAGCCCGCGTTTGTGGAAGGAGAGGAAGAAAATTTGAGTTTGAACCATTTTTCATGCGAGACTTGGAGACTTGCTTGCGGAGCTTACTTTTAGACGTTCACTCTTGCAAACTTACTCTTGGGGTTGAGCTTTCGAAACGAATGGAATTTACGAAGAGAGACGTGCTTCCGGCGGGGAGCGGCAAATATGCTCCCCAGCCTTGTTTTGACTAAGAGGCGAGAGACTTTACTCACTTACTCTTCTTACTCTTGGAATCACTTACTGGGTGGACTTGCTTACTTTTGGGCTAAGATTGTAACTTCGAGCTTGCTCTTGGGATGAGCGAGTGAAGGCGAGCTGTAATTGCCTAGAGAGACGTTTCCGGCCGGGAGCTGCAAACATGCTCCCCTGCCGCGTTTTGGTTAAAAGGCGAAATTGAACCCGGGCGAGTGACTTAAGACTTTCAAGACCAGGCGGACAGCCGTGCTGGGCAGCAGTGCTCCTGTTTCTGTTTTCCAGAGTGAAAATAGCTTCGTCGTTATGAAAACCAGTTACCTGCGTGTGTGTTTCGCCAATAGTGCCAGGACAGGACGATGTCCTCTGAAACTTCCATTTGTGAACGTAAAATCGCGCCGCCGACGTCAACGCTTATTAGGATACGAGTCCTCCACTTCAAGACGTCCTTACAAGATAAGTTCTATTTTTTTGTGTTTGAACTTTAAGTAAGGTTTCAACGACTTCCTTGGAATGTAAAATAACAACGTCGAATCTTAAATTAATTCTCAGGCTTTCAATTGTTTCCCTTTCCCCTTCTTAATTGACCGAGACAAACCTTAAGGTCTTTATATGAATTAGGATGTAATAATTTAAGTTGTTTGTGTAATCTTCCTTAGAACAGATATGAATTGCAAATAATATGTTTTCCTTAACCTCTTAGAAATTATAGAACGGGTACCCGTTAAATTAAAAGAGTCATGTAATAGATTTGCAAAGCATGAATTTAAATGTAACAAAAAAAAATGACAAATTGAAGAATTCACCTAATAAATAAGTAAATTGAAAATAAGTAATTGAAAATAAGTCTAAAATAAGTAAATTGAAACTAACAAAAATAAGAAGTTTGACTCCCTGATTAGGATAAGATTAATTTTTAATTGTGAGGAATTTGAATAAACTGGTATTTAATCTGGAAACCTATTACTTATGTTTTCTTTATATCCTTTATGTGTTTTTCTTATATATATATATTGATTTTACATGTTATTTATTCGATCCTCTCACGGCGCGGTCCCTGATGCATTTTCACAACGCAATGCATTAAAAATTCACTTATACGATCACTAAAAGTTTGGTAATTAGCAAACTCTTAAAAGTTTAGTTTCTCAGTTGATATTCAGTTAGTTGCGGTTTCACCTGTCTGTTTCTGCATTAGTTTCCTCCCTAAGAGGAAGTTGTAACACAGCATTGGTGCCCATGATTTTTTCGGCAAGGTCTCGCAACAGAACATTGGTGTAGTAGCTATTTAACAAATATCCATACAGTAGTGCTTTGCAAATCATTGCAGTCTGGTCTTTGAAGTTAATTAAATTGTTTAAGTTTTATTCTTATCACCTAATATATATTAACTTCGATATAATCTAATCGCGTATTATTTTGCAAGTTTCAAATAACAATAACATTTTTAAACCAACAGTCATCTTGATTGCCAAAATCTGAAAAATCAGAGAGACATTGATTTAGAGTTTTAGTATTAAACTTTGTCTTTATTTGATAGCATAAATACATGTTGTTTCAAGATCATACAACGTACATTTTAAATTAACGGTTTTTAACCAAGAGGAAAGAATATTATAGTTCAAGTGAAAATGTAGTTGAAATTGCGGAATAGAAGAAATCCTCGCCTCATCAGCCGAAAAGACTGGCTCTGAAAACAATTCAGATGACACATTTCAAAATGAATTCACAGTTCTTCTGTCAAATAACAAATCCGGGAGGAAGGAAGCCTCAATAAAGTATTACGGAATTATAATGAAAAAGTTATTAATATAAGGGACGACAAAAATAAAATCGGTACTTACGTATTTAGCTGTCAACCGATTTCGGCAGTATCGCCAAAAGTGCAATTTATTGCCAGTAATGGATAAGCGTGATGTTATAAAAGGCTCACAAGAACTTTTGGTTTCATATAACACTGATCCTCAGTAAGCACGTTTAGTTTTTGTAATCAATTTATAAGTAAACTGCTGACTGTTTTTCTCTTATATTTAAAAAAAGTTTTATTAAAATTTGAGATCTTTCTTCTACAGAATAGCAAACATCGAAGTATTTTAAAATCTGCGAGTCTGGTTATACTGATTCGCAAACTCAAAACATTAAAAAGGCTGCAGTGCGTCAAAATGGCGCAATAACAGACATCGCAGAACGGTGCGCCACCATTTAGATTCGTATTTAAATGAATTTATATGGCCTAGAGTTCGTAAAGAAGGGGGGAGTTTTTTTGCTATTTTACATCAAATGAGGCTTTTTTGACTGCCGGAGTGATTGGTACTAGTTATAATGAAATTCTTCGTCAGATAATCTCAAAGCTTGAGCTCGTAATTATTTAAGTTTTTATATACCAGATTCATAACTCATATCTGTTGACTATCTAATTAAATGAAAATCCGTCTGTTAACTAAATAAAGAGCCGCCGCAATCACAGTTTCGTGAGATCTCAAGCAGCTTTCGTGGTCGACGGGAGGATACCTAAATACCGAAAAATGTAAGAATATCTTGCGGTGTGTTCAAAATAAAAATTATAAAAAATTATATATACAATGGGTAAAAGAAGTATTGGCAATTGCCCTATAGTTGTTCACATTTCCTAACAAACGAAATGCTTGACAATTTTAGATGGATATAACGAACACATGAGGTAATAAACACACAAATCTAATGAAACTTTCAGTTTAATATATATTTTACACAAAATATACAATAAAAGCGTAGGTGTGGATGTCAAAAAATTATTGGCAAAGTTCTAAGTGCTATGCAAATTTTGTTATGTTGAGGCCCCGTGTTTAATCTGATAGGAAACCCTGTTAGTATAAAGTCTGCAGTGCTACCTCAAAAACTTTTAAAACGTTATTTTGCTAATACTGATAAACTGGCTTCGAAATCGAAGGAGTTGGATATTAATGTTAAAAACATGATTATTTAGCTCAGAAATGAGAGTTTAACTTACCGTGCTGTAGGATTACAACTGAACATAAGTTTATTTACAATTAGAAATGTTGTAAGAGAGTTCAAAGAGACAGGCTCGACGGAAAATAAGATTAGAAGTGGACGGCCTCGAATATTTTCTGCAAGGAAAAAAGTGGTATTATCAAAAGAGGTTGAGAAAAACCCTAAATTAAGTGCACCTCAGTTACCCAAAGATGTTGCTAATACTTCGCATAAAGCTTTTAGTGTGCGCACTATACGGAATGTTTGACATGAAGGAAGTTATTACAGAAGGGCATCTAGAAACAAACCTTTCATTTCAGAAATAAACAGGAGAAAGAGATTAGATTTTGCAAAATCTCATGTTAATTTATCAGACGAATTTTGGAACACAGTTATTATGTCCGACGAATCAAAGCTTAATATTTTCGAGAGTGATGGACGACAATATGTGTAGAGAAAGCCAAGCATTGAACTGGGAAAACAATAGTTAACACCGAAAGTAAAACATGTTGGAGGGAGCGTCGTAGTTTGAGGCTGTATGGCAAAAAAAAAAAAAAAAAATGGAGTTGGTAACCTGTGCTTCATTGATGGTATTATGACAGCACATACATACGTTGACACATTGCGCCATAAAATAAAATTCAATGCCCAAAATCAACAGGATAATAACCCTAAGAATACCTCACCTGGCAGTGAACCTCACCTTACAATATTTACTCTATAACGCTCCTGCCGCCCAACCGGTAAAGTGGTTAGCGTTGCCGACTGCCATGCCGAAGGACCTGGGTTCGAATCCCGGAGAAGGCATGATGTTTGTAAATGTTCAATAAAACGTTGTAAAAACGTTTGTTGTTAAATGTCTTCGTTTCAATATTAAACCTCACGGATTGGAGGAAACGGCGTTCGCCAAAGTCCTCATCTCCTTTTTTCTTGCTTAAAATGCAAGATAGATACAGATAGAGAGAACGCTCCTCGCCAGTTAAAGACACCGCCTCAATCGCCTAACATAAATTCAATTGAAAATTTATGGCACAAACTGGACCTAGAACCCAGGAAACATAAAATGTCGTGTAAAGATGAACTTAAGCATTTACTTCTGCAAGAATGATTACAAGCAAGAAGATTACAAGCAAAATGCTAAATGCAAAAAGTATGAATACAAAGTATTAAATTTTGTGCCCACATTTATTGTATTAACTTGCCAATACTTTTTTGACATGGAAATTTACGTTTTTATTCTTAAAAGAAATTTCATTAGATTTGTGTCTCTGTTGCCTCATGTGTTCATTACGTCCAGCTAAAATTGTCAAGCATTTCCTTTGTTAGCTAGATTGATCAAGTATAGGTAATTGCCAATACTTTTTTTACCCACTGTATATATATTAAAATAAAAGTCTGGTAAGAAATTTACAGCACTTTAATTTTAAAGGTCTATTTAAAAGAAATGGGTCGTGTTCACCTTAACCACGGGAAAAAACATGAAAGCTTCCATTCAACTAATCTGTTCATCGTCATTCGTCAAACTGGCTGAGTCCAGCGGTTTTATTGCTCGTCGCTAATCGCCTTCCATTTTGAAAAAAATCTGTAATTCACTTCAGTTCGCTAATTGCAACTGGTGTTAAAAGATTATTACTTTTTTTTTTTTTTTTTTTTTTTTTTTTGCAGAGTTTTATACATTCAATCTGTAATCACCGTATATATTATCACATAAAATATGTACTGCTTCTATCGCGCTGAAATGATTAAAATATGAGAAATCTTTCAATAGTAAGAGGATTTCCAATATTTCTTGTGCATTGAGCTAATTTTTCAAGCATTAAATTTCCGTCAGTTCTATTTAAGATTTCCTTTTGAGTTACTATGTATTGACAAACAACTTGTGTATAAGCACAACCAACCTGGCGCAGTTTTGAGAATTATTACAGGAAAAGAATAATTATATATAACTGCAAAAGATTATTTATTATATTTTTTTTCATTTTGATTATGTATTATAATATAGTTTTCGTTTTAATTAGATATTTATTTCAAAAATCAATCTATAAATCAACTTATAAGTAGATTTTTGTTTCTTTTGTTCTGATGGTAATTTAATGGCAATCACTCGAGGATAAATTCATACCAGTGGATTTTTTAGCGATTTTGCGACAACGTCTGTAGGAATTTCAGTGTAATTTTTTCCTCAGCAGGAAAATCCAACAAGCGCATAGTTTAAAATTGAGTTTAAAAATATTAAGATTTATCGATAACAACAGTTGGAACTTGCAATGTAACAAAAAGAACACGAAAAAAATTATGGCTTTGCTTTTTAAAACTGAAGAATTGCCGGGCCATGGTTTCCTGAAGAATTGTTATACGCGTGGTAGTCGAATTTTGGCTCACTTTAAAAATTTGCCGATATTTAGTAATATGGTTGTCCTAATACGCAAACCCAAAATGCATTTTTTCGCTTTTTCTATCTTCATCCATATTTTATATTTTCGTTACGTGAATTGATTAACTTACCGACTTCCCAAATTTGTAAATCTGCATTTTGAAAATTATGGAAGCTCTCAAATAATGCTGTATTGGCAAATCTCGTTATTTTTTACAATTTTTTGACTACATGATATTCGCAGGTTTTTTTTTATGATTATATATCCCTACAGGAATAGATTCATATATGTTTCTTTCAGAAAATTGAGACTTCGAGTTTAGAAGACCTTTGTTAGATAATCCTCCATTAAATGTTTAAGCAGATAGCCCTGGTATGCACTGCCGTACTTAAATAACCAGCAAACAAACTGTTAATAGGTTCTCATTATTTAGTGAAACCTGTGAAACATTTATTAAGTTACTGAAGGCAGAGTGCACAAGAAAGTTATCATGATAACTTGATAACATTCGTGAATTTGTTTGTTTACAACCGATTATAGCAAGGCATGCAAGGACTATCAGCTTAAAGCAAGGGATGCCCCTAGCAAAAACATTTTAAGACTAACTGGTTATTCTCTCTAAACTTCGAGAAGCGACAGAAACGCCATTTCGAACCCTGTTCGAGCCCAGGGATAAAGAAAGAGAGCCTGGTTCGAGCCATCTTATGGTGAATGGTTTTATTCATTCGGCCACTGGTAAACAGGACTTAGAAATGAACAAGGAGCTAATTTGGAAACTAGTCAAAAGCTCTTTAAATACTTAAGAATTCAGAAAATATTACGATAACTTTGAAATTCAAAGACGGATAGAATCTCTTTATGCGATATATATCTAAACTTTGTGAGATTTTTACATCCAATTTCGCTAAAGCTTCGCTTTAGGAAGTTATAAATATAAATTTTAATCAAGAGCGTTATCTGAGGCAGTATTCGAAGTACGAAAATTTTTAAATTAACTCCACGGAAAAGTCTTTCATGTTTTAGTATTTTAAGTAAACTCTGCGTATTTTGAGAAACTATTTAATGCTAGTCTCGTGAAGCAGAAAGATTTTAGTCGGAGGTCTCTCGAAATGCGCAGAAACATTTGTTTGAAATAAAGCTAATATTGCTAATATAACTAAAGCTAATATTGCCTGATTTAAAAAATCAGAAATTATTTTTCAGAACACTAGTTGATCGTGCAAATGCTTGGTTGCAAGCCAATCCGCAATGGGAAATAAAAACATGTGAAAGTGTTGAATTCAAAGCCTCAAGAAAAGAATTTGATACTCAAACTATGACTTATTTAGAGTATGGAACAACTGTTAATAGTTACATCAGAGGACTCAGGTATACCTTTTTGTTAATGATACATTCTCGAATTATTTATTAAACTTTCTTGTTTAAAACTACATAATAACCATTTATATTTTAAAAGAGAGAAGCACAATATGGTTTACCGAACATTCTTATCGGTACTTCTTACTATTACCACCCACGTTATTTAAAGTGCGGCGAGACTGTCAAGTTTTAATTAAGGGAAAGGTTAGACAATAAAATATCACGCGTGTTTACTTCTCCCATATGTTTTCTGACTTCTAAATTTCCGCGATTACGTTTAATATAAAGTGCTAGTTTATTATCTCGAGCAAACCTTGATCTCGAGTACCTCTGGCATACAAGCCTTATAATTTTTTGGCCCATTATCCGTCTTTTTAACCCATTATCCCTCTTTTTAACTGATTAAACCGTCTAAAGGGCCAGCAAATCTCTCTCTCTCTCTCTTTTTTTTTTTTTTTTTTTTCTAAACGGAGGACTCAAAAGTGAATCGTGGGAATGATTGCCGGCCGTTTGGCAGCAGGTTGCAACATATGTTGGTCCCTTTAAATTATGGGGGGGGGCGGTGCGTAATGATAAGGAAGTATCTATTTATGATTTTTTTTAAGCTTTTGAAGATTAAAAAAATACCTATATTGCAACTGTGGTACTTAAACAGCTTAGATTGTATATAGGGTACCTTTCCGTTTCGCCGGCGCAAATCTCGCCTAGCAGACTTTATTGACGGCAACATACGGGATACACATAAAAAATGTTAAAAAATGTTAGTTCTTAAGAATTTTTTATTTTGAAGGCATAAACATTTTAATATAGTTTAAAATTTTATAAAAAGCTAATAAATAAAGACAATAAATTTGTCAAAAGACATTAATTCAAGAATTTACTATGCTTTTATGGTTCATATCACGAGACCCCCAAGTGATCTTATCTCACGCAAACTTCGCTACAAAAATCTAATTATCTCAGTAATTATCTACATTAATTTCAAGTTAAATCTTAATTTGGAATACAAGTTTAAATGAAAGAATTATTTGAATTCGTACGAATAGCTTACTCAGAAATTATATAAAACCGCAGTGCTTTACTTCTTCGCTAGTGCATTCTCGTTAGAATTGATGAATTTTTAACCCTTGACTTTGCCTTTTCTATATTTTCGCCTTCGGGTGTGCGGTGTGATTGCATCATAATTGACTTAATTACCGCGAAGGGCCAGGGCCTTAGGGCATAAAATTAAACTATCTGGTAAAAATTCTATGTAATTGTATGCCAGTATTGAAAGAAACAATCAATCTGATAAGAAATGGCTGGGACTTGTTTTGAAAATGAGGCGCAAAAGGCTACCAGCGAGGATATTCCGTTTGGCATCAGTTGTACCATTGCTGGCGACTTTATCGGCTGCGCCGGCAAAACGGAAAAGTACCGTACGTAGTTTATCCCCAAATACGAAGCCGAATTTTCTCTTGGTTATTTCTCCACAGACTGAATTCAAAATGAGACGGCATTTAAAATTAGGAAAAAAAAAAAAATCTTACTTTGGCATGGATTTGGAATAAAACTCTATCGACTTCGAAGGAAATCAGACGTAGGAAACATATTTTTGCTAATGAAAAAGAGGGTCCTATGTCTGATTGCTTATGGAAATAAAAACATGTGAAGAATATGTTTATGGAGAATATGCTTATGGAAATAAAAAAGAAGAAGTAAAAAAGAAGAATAATAAAATAAAAGAAATAAAAAAGAAGAATATGCTTATGGAAATAAAAACATGTGAGTTTTATTCAAAAATCTATATCAACTAAGATGTCTTTTTGCTAATTTTAAATTTCGCACTGGTGTGTTTCTCTTTCAGTTTAAGAGGAAGGCAGACAAATGTTTTATCATCAATTGTTTACCTTGTTCAGGCTCTTACTTTGATACTAAGCAGTATATTTGCTTAAGCAAAAGAACGATGTCAGATCCTCTTAAAAAAATCGATAGCGTTTTCTTTAAATTCTATCCTATTTGAAGGTTACTTCTTTTTTTTTAATTTTAAACTATAAGACAATCTAGAAAAATTTGAAGATAAGTTATTTAAAAGTATTATTCATGATTTTAAAAAAAAGAAAATCTTAGTTTCTAATCAGGAAATCTTAGTTTCTAATTTTGTCTCCTGCGATGCAATTAAAGCTGAATTAATATTTAAAATAAATATAAGAAGAACTATTTAATGTGCTATATTTAGATATAATATTTTAAGCCGTTAATTATATGAAAGAAATGAAATGATATTTAGAATTTTATTTTATCCTTCTGCTGTTTAATATTAATTTATTTTCACTGTGTTTTCTTTTATTCATTTGAATTTAAAATTCAATTTTTAAAATATTATTTTGCTTCTTCATAATCGTACTTTTTATTTACTCTTTATTCGCAATCCATTACAGCTGCCTCTTTTGGATCGCAAAAGTTAAACACCGGAGTACGACTAAAAATTAAATTGTAGTTAAATAAAGGTGGTTCTAATTCTAAATGAAGTGAAATACTTCAACAATCTACAAAAATAATCATTTTATTTACAAAGCAACTTGATTGCATCGAAGGTTCACTGCTAACTAACTACGTCGCAAACTAAAAACTAACATTCTTTTTCAGAAGCGAAGCGCCCTCTAACGGCGATACATAAATCATTTGGGGGATTTTTCCACACTCCCCACCTGATAATTTTTGCAAAAATTATCACTATTTCAGCATACAAATAATAAAATATAAGAAAGCAACTTACATATCAAATACATTCAACTGATGTAAATATAAACTGCAAAAGGAAATTCTATAAAATAAACAAATATAGTTAACTGCATCAACTCAAATGTTACTCAATACGTAAATATTAATTCAAATTACAAACAGTAAATTATTAGTAATAACTAAACTAATTATCTAAAATTAATGTTAGTGAATATGAAATACAAGAAGTAAAATTAAAAGGTTACAAATTTAGTTCATTTTCAGTCTGATAGTTCAAGGGGGTATATCAATTGCACAGGTCTCTTAAGGTCCCCTTTTTTAGTTTTTACCACACATGATCGTACAAGACCATCACGTCCTTTGAAGACTTGAATTACTCGACCTAAATCCCAGAGGAACTTAGATTTAGTTGTTCCTTCAAGTAAAACTATATCACCAATTTTAAGATTTTTCTTGGCTTCTGGTGTACCGAAGAAGTGAGCATTTCTTAACTCAAGAAGATACTGATTTTTCCATTTTTTCCAGAACTGTTTTATAAGTGTTGTCTGATATTCTTTTCGTTTTATTAGACTCTTTCTTGTTGGAGAGTTATTCAGGATCTCAGCAAAGTTGTATGGATATTCATCCTTATGTCCGATCAATAGAAAATCAGCCGGTGCAAGCGGTTCAGGTTCATGTAAATCGTTGTAAACGTAGGTCAAAGGACGTCTATTCACAATATTTTCGACCTCTGTCAACACAGTCATAAATTCTTCAAAATTCAGTTGAGCTCTGCCTAATATCTTTTTCAACGGTTCCTTTATGGTTTTCATAAGGCGTTCATAAAAAGCTCCCCACCATGGAGCAAGCTCGACGATAAATTTCCAAGTCAAGCCTTCATTTGCTAGAAAATTTTGAAAGTCTGTACCTTTAATTATGCTGTAAAAATACTGTAAATCTTTGGCAGCATATTTGAAAGTTTTCGCGTTATCTGAATAAAAGGTGCGACAGTTTCCTCTTCTCGAAATGAAACGTCTGAGAGCCAAAATGAATTTGTTTGCAGACATATTGGAAATGAGTTCTAGATGTAACGCTCGTGTAACAGCGCACGTAAACAATACGATGTATGATTTCTGAATGTCGTTTCCAGACCTGATGTAAACTGGACCTGTGAAATCCACGCCTGTAACATAGAAAGGTGGAGTTTCAACAATTCGATCTTTAGGTAACTGAGCTGTCATTTGTTTCGCTGGTTTTACTGCGTATTTCCGACAAATTAAACAGTTCCCTAAGACTTTCTTTACCAACTGACGGCCTTTAGGAATCCAAAATTTCTGTCTTAGTTTGGCTAAAGTTGCTGCAACTCCCGCATGCAGAACGTTATTATGTTCCCTTTTTACAATTAATTCAGTAAATTTGGAATCTTTAGGAAGAAGAACTGGATGCTTCTCGTCAACTGTATATTCGGTTTCTTCTAATCTTCCCTTAATTCGAAGAATTTTATTTTCATCAAGAAACGGTGCCAAGCTGAATATATCAGAGCTTGGAGAAATTGACTTGTTAGATTGAAGAGCCTTAATTTCAGGTGTGAAGAAATCCATCTGGGATTTACGAACACAAAAATTTCAGTGTCCTGAATTTCAAAGCACTTAATGTTCCACTATTAGCAGGCAGTTTTCTTGCCTTAGCAACGAAACGTCTAACCCATGCCATAATTCTGAGATATTTCAGCACATTACTGAATTTTGTTATATCCAATAGTTGATCATCTCTTTTCACAACAACGTCATAAACAGATATCTTACTACGGAGTTCTAGTTGCTTATCGTTTCCCGTTTCCCACGTCAAACTTCGGTTGAACTGGCCAGTCTATACGTTTGTTTTGCAACCATTCTGGTCCAAACCACCAAAGTGAACAATTTCTTAAATTAGCAACAGCAGTTCCTCGTGATATGAGGTCGGAGGGGTTATCTTTCCCACGGCAATAATGCCAATTATTGCTTTCAGTTAGTTTCTGAATTTCATAAACTCTGTTTTTTGATGAAAGATTTAAATCTTTCGGGAGATCCCTGAATCCAAAAATACGTTATTTGAGAATCAGTCCAGTGGAAGGGGATTACTTCGTATTTTAAAGATTTTGCTATTTTATCACTCAATCTAGCGGATAAAAGCGCACCCAAAAGCTCCAATCTAGGAAGTGTAAGGGATTTCAGAGGTGCAACTCTACTCTTGGAAGCAACAAAAACTGTTTGAAAAGTTCCATTGTTCAAAACTATTCTCAGATATACCACGCATCCATAAGCTTT